CCCCGCGCGGCCGCGCGCGCCTCACGGCCCTCAGCGACACCGGGCACAGGCCGCGGAAAGATCTTTTTATTTAAATAGCAGGGACTTAAAAACTCTCGTTGTTTTAACAAGTTAAATAAAATACAGTGTAAATATCAGCTCTCTTTTAACTTGCCTACATACAGCTAATTGGGAAACTTTATGGACTTTACAGCATAATCAGGTGTGAAATTGCCTGAGCTCTGGCTTCAGAAGCAACAGATTGTATAAAATACTGTGATATCAAAAAAAAAGCGCCGGTATAATGTACAAAAAATATTTTTACATTAATTCAATGTCTAAAAGTCAGATTAACTGCATCTGATATTCATGGTAAACCATCTTCTCTGACGAGGAACTGGTGGATAAATTGCTGAGCTTTCCTCTTCTCAGCTATGTCAGGCGTGGGATGTCCAGGAGGAGGTCGGAGTAACAAGCCACCAAACACGCTGGCTGCAGGGAAAAGCCACACAGACATACAGTGAGAGCACAACACCGAGGGCCATGCCACCAGCCCCAGGGAAGAGTGCCCGGCTTGGGAATGGGACAGGATAAAGCTGGTGATCCCCACATCTCCTGCTCTTCTATGGAATATTCACTTACAATAAAAGGTTCAAAGCAGTACAAGCCATGACTGCACTCAGGTATGAAGTGTTTTGTTGCCCTAACCATGCAGCATCTCTGAACAGAGGGTTATTTTGCTTGCCTTACCAAGAATATTCACATCCAAATGGTTTTTCCCTGAATTCTTCAGTAGCTCTCGTAGAAATGCCATCAGACATTTAAACACATTTTTGTGGCACACTGGTAGATTGGAGATAATCTGAGGAGGGAAAAACACCAACATTTATATTGCAGACACAGCAATGCCTTCCAGCTGCATCCACCCGCAAAATCCCCCTGTCTGCAAGTGCCAACAGCTCTTTATAACCCAGAAGCACCAGCTCCAGATCATTTCCATTAACAGAGGATTAAGTTACTGAGAGCAAAACCTGGTGAGTGGTGTACCAGAGAGCAGTTTGCCTCCCCACCTCTGGAATCAGAGCTGGTCCCTCAGGGAATCCAGCAGTACCTGGCAGCTCAGCCCGTAGTTGCTGGCACTCTCCAGACAGGAGCTGTAGAACCTGCAGCAGATGACAGGCTCGGGCAGACTCTCCAGGAAAAGCAGCAGTGCCTCTGCCACTGAGTGGTTGCTGCCCACTGATCCAAACATGGTTAAGGAACAGTCCTATTTCTGAATGAACTTTTGGTTAGCTGTCCCAGAACTCTGCCTACAGCTCGCAGCTTTGGGTTAATCCCCTGGTCTCCACACAAGCTGCTGCTGGTAGCATTTGGGCACTTGTTTAATTCATTGGCATCACCAGGACTCAGCAGAGGAAGACACAGAGCCACGAGGAAATGCAGAGCTCAGTTACACCAGGAGGAGAGACAGCAGCATAAAAACCTCTTCCAGTTTTGGCACTCTGGCATAGTGAGCCTTCCCGGGCATCAGTCTAAAAGGATACGGAAAGTATCATACATTCCCTTGTCCAAACAATCTCGGATTTGCTCAAATTCAGATCTGAGGCCTGGCTGCTGAAACAGGTCCTCCTGCAAAGACAACCCTTTATCAGTCCAAGGAAAATAGAAGAACTTTGGGTAAATGGAACAATGTCCTTATAATCTGCCTGGAAAGTCTCTCCAAATTGGTGGTTATCACCCAAATATCAGCACAAACAGCTCTAGGAAGGCTGTGGCACTGCAGTAAGAGCAGTGTGGAGGGCACTTGCTGATGCCTGAACATGTAGACAGGGTCACTAGCACCAAACAGTACAACCTGGGGTATCAGGACCACTTATCTCCCATGGCCTTTGGCCAAACACCAGCTTGTGGTGATTGCCATTACCAGTATCTTCTTCAAAACTTAACCTAATGCAAACATCTCATTTTGTATTTCCAGTGCCAACCTGCTGGGAAGCGTTGCGATTCAAGTGATCCACCATCATCCACAGCTCTTTTGGGATGTCCATGGGCTTTTCAGCTTGGGCAGAGTCATCACTCATGTCTACTGGCATCAAGGTCTGAGGGAGGGCAGTGTGGGCAGGAGGGAGACAAACAAAAGGTAGTTCTTATTCAGCTCAGCAAAAATACTTCACAAGGGCTATACCTGAGAATTGAGACTTCTTAATAAAAACAGACAGGCCTTAGCATCTAGTTTTAATGCTCTTGTGTGTTTGGAAGGGAATCTTGTCTTTAACTCACAAGTCTCCGAATGGATTCTGCTGACATGTCCTGGATTGGTTCCCTCATGTAACACAGTGTATGGATGGGAGACCCAAAGCAACTTGGCAAATAGTTGCCTGTTACGGATAGAAAATAATCCTTCCCTCTGACAAGATGCAAGACTAAGATATCTTCAAGTTTTTCCTCTCCAGAGTTTAAGCGAGTAGCTGTTGATTTATTAACAAACACCTCCAGCTCAACTGTGATCTCAGCATCTGCCAGAAGATGATAAAAAACCCAGACTCAGTTACAACCAGCATTGAGCCTGCAAACAGGCACAGCACTCTCAGAAGTGTAGAGGGAGCTAAGCAAGAAGGGGACAATATCAGCTCATTAATATGAGACAAACAAGGAGGAGCTCACCTGAGAGCAAGAAGCCCTTACTGGGATTAGCAGTCAGCCACTCCTTGCAGTAGGTTTCCTCATCTGGTTTGCTGATAAATTCGAACTGGCAGGGCACTTGGCCATTGCGGATTGTAAACCTCTCTACCTGCAGCTGCATGTATTTAACGTCCTCAAAACAGATCTAGAAACAAATGACAGTCAACATCATCAGCCAATTCCACCTTGCTGAGCAGCAATTCCTGTCCTATGGTTTAATTATTAAGCTGCAAGACAACTAGATTAACCTCTTGCTCCCACTCCCATCTCTTCCAGGATTGCACAGGATCACACTTGCTTACTCTGAATGTCAAAATCCTTTGTGTCGGGGGCCCTTTAAAACAAATGCTGCCCTCAAATAACTACAATAAAATTAAGAATGAGATAGCTGTAGCCTCAAATGTCCCCTGGGCTTATCTTTATAGTCCCAACACACAAAGCAAATGCTGGTTTGTGACCTTCTCCAGATCCTTGCAATTTTACATTTTATGTTTGAAAGCACAAATCAGATCAAGGGTCACAAACCACCGTTTTACTTTCTCTCCTCCCACCTCAGGGAATGACACACCCTGTGTTTCAGCCTTGGACTGTGAATGGAAATCACCAGCATCTAAATAGGAACAGAGATTCCTAGGGCTTGTAAACAGAGAGCAGCTGGAAGTCAAAATACTCTACTTTTTGGAACCAGACCCAAGGGTCTAGGATGAATCTTCTACTGCTGGGGTCTAGGGCTGCTCAGTTCCTTCAGGGAATGCTGGCACATGACCATGCCCTACCTCTCTGCGGGACAGGGTGACCGAGGGAATGTTGGCATTCTCCAGCTTATCCAGGGAGCGGACTATTTCCTCAAAGGCTTTTCGATAGAGCTCTTCATTCACAACCTTCACCTGAAAAGGACACACACTGGACCAGCTAGCATTGACTGTGCCTCTGCAGGACAGCTGGAACACAGCTGGAAACATGGGAAGGAATTTGATTTTAGCAGCACACTAGAGTATACAACACAGGGAATGGGCAGAGCTGCTTGGATTACTCATCTCCAAGGTCTTCTCATGATCCAACAGTAAAAGACCTTGCCATAAATAACAAAAGTCAGTCAGTACTAGATCAACCATTTTTTTTCCCCTCAGAAAAAAATAAGAAGTTTGACAGCACACTATGCAAAAGAACACCGACAGATACTCAGGTTAACTGCAGTATCATTTACACAGCCCTTGCCTACTATGATCAACAATCCAATCTCCATATCTGACCAGCCCACCTTTCAAACCATTGTTCTCTGGATGCCACAAAAGCAGGAAAGAGAAATCAGCACCCAGGGGATGAGGTCAGCAGAGTTACTTCATCCAGCACTGACATACCTACCCCAATATCAAACACAGAGCTCACTGGCTTGTGGTCACTGAGCTTCAGAGCCATGTGGCTGCGATAGCTCAGCTGGGCAATGTTCTGTCCTTTCCAGAGTATCCGATCACACCACGCTGGAACGCGACACTTCTCACTAAAACAGAGGGGAAAATCACCATTTCCAGGCACACTGCAGATGCAGTAACAACACAGTGCAGAACATCGCTCACCCAGAGATCAGGGTTTCCTGCCATGGCCTGGAGCTCACTGTCTATCAAAGTGGTAATTTTAACAGTTTCTTTGCATAGATATGAAATGTTTGAGTGTCTACTATAAGGTATCTGTGGCTCATGCTTTACTTCCTGGTTCTTCAAAGGTGCAAGAAACAATTAACATCCAAAGCAATTCTCAGGTATTTTTGACTATGAGAGCCATAAAAATAAAAAGTCAGGCTCTACATTTAAAGTTTGCATTTATTGTTTTCACTGGCAGCTGCACAGATTTAATTTCTGCACTTGCAGCTGAAATTCCTGGTTTGCTAAGACTAGAGGAGTTGCTCTGTGTATAGAGCATTACAAGAAGGATGGTTCTTGCAGGCTTTTGAAGAACAGCACAGTTGACTCCATGTCAACCCTGGCTGGTCTCACCTGAGCAGGTACAGGAGAGATCAGCAAAAATGAGATCCTAAAAATTTTGCTTGGGGAAAAAAAACAATGAACCAGACAAAAAAGAATTAAACTAGCTAAAAGGATTCATTAACTTTGTACACCTCTAAGAGGAAACCTGATAGGATTATTACTGGGGAAGAAAATAGCAGGAGTATCTGACAAATAGCTGTGGAAGAAAAACAATGCAAATAGATGTAAACAGGAGACGAATTTTGGAGAGAAGGGAGAGAACCAGAAATAATCTCAGAACTGTTCCTATTTACAGCCATTAGATCTGCAATATTTTTTAGCCTTGTTTTTATTTCCATTAACCATTTGTAGCATTACATCTGAGACAATCACTGTACCTTGTGTCCCAGTCATCACAGCCAGTATCATACTTGTATGTTGGCTGGAAAGAGATCTCTCCTTCTGTGAAGCCTTCAAAGGCTGCATTTGCCTTCATTTGTCTCTTCAGCTACAAAAGAAGAAAAGATGAAAACTTTAATTTTGGATAATCCCAAGCACAATTTCCATGTGGAGAAAGAGGGAGACATTGAGCACAGAAAAGGCCAAGGAGTCGTGTGGTTTGTACCCAGCACCCTCAGCACCACATGCAGGTAGGTGAGACATCAGTACCTGGTCATACTGGCAAAGCTCTAGAAATGCTTTCTCCTCTACAAGCTGCTTCACTTTTGCCACATCCAGTTCCTCCAGACGATAGTTGAGGTCCCCCAACCATAGGATCACACTGAAAGAGAACACCACAATGTGCAGAGGCCTGGAGCTGCCCAGAGCGCAGCCAGCCATGGACAGCAGCTCCATTCTGCAGCTCTGGACTCTCCCCATCACAACCCCTCTGATGAGCTGCTCTCATCAAGAATAACAACAGTGAAAACTTAAAAGAGCAGCTACCTTTACAATTTTTGCCATTATTAATCACTGTTCTGCATGCTTGTCACTGTCCCTTAATGGCTAGTGCTGTTTCTATTCCACAGCTGGGGAACTCAGTGCTTATTCCTGCCCCATCCACACTCCAGGCTTGAGAATAAAACAAGGCTTGGGAGAGCACAAAGTGACAGAACAGTGTGGATGAGCCCTGTGCAAACCAGGGAAAGCTTTTCTGGCCCCTCAGCTGACGTTTATGCCGCTGAGCCCCCCTCCTCACCCCCCAGCACATCCACAGAGCTCTCCTTTGCACATGCCATGATTCCCACAGCCAGATGGGAAGCGTACTCGTGTTTGCCAATAGTGAGAGGGGGCAAATTTGGATCCGACTGGCAGAACTGCATCCGAGAGCAGATGTCTTTGAAGTCCTGGTTCCTCCGCTCGTATTCCTCCGTGTGAGCTGCGAGGTGAGAATTCACAATGCACATGCTGGTGTTGTGGAATTTAAACCTGATGGCAACACCACCTTTGTTACCCTGAAAGAGAAAGGCAAAGACATTGGTCAGAAGCTTCTACACTGCAGATGAGTTACTAGCAGTGGACAAGCCAGAAGACTTTGAGACAGATTGTTTCATTCCAGAGAAAAAACATCCTAATTAATGATTTCTGCTTTGAACATTGGTGAGCACCTGGCAGTTCCCTCTTGCTGTGCCCTGAGCTGGCACGGGGACAGGACTATCTGCTTCTAGAGGCAGCCACAGCCCTTAGCTGGAGGAATAACCATTGCATCCAAGGAGGGTAGCTCTTCCAAATCTCACCCCTTCTCATGCATGGTTGCCATTCTTACCATCCTCCCCATGATTCCAGTTCCCACAGTCTCAACTTCCACCTCAGAGATGTTCAAAGCAAGTTCTGCCTTCACATACAACAGGAGCATGATCCCCACGAGGCGCACAAGTTTCACCTGAAAAACAGACCCTGGTCCATTCAATGCTGTAATGGAGGAGGTTTGCTGAGAGAAGGCATATCCATCTATAATATGAGTCACCAAAAAGAAAGTTTCAGGATCATTCAGTGCACCAGCAGGACTCACAGTGCACAGGCCCCCAGCAGCACAGCCCAGGAAGAAGCTGGGAGCAACATCAGTAAAGGAAGCTGAAGCCCAAAGCAAGAGCTACAGCACAGACACAAGCTCATGAAAGGAGATTCCCTTCAACAACAGAGAAAAGAGAAGAAGCAGACCTATGGAGCAAGAACTAAAACATAAGCAGTATTCCTACCAAAATACCGTCATAATTAATTCCACCATACATTGTAGGCAGACAGGGAAGAAGGTACAAAACTTCCTATTCTCCTTCCCCAAGACAGCAGGAGCTCCCTTTAAATGGGGAAGCCTGGCTCTGTTTCCATCCTGCCCCTGCCTCAGCACACTGCCTACAGAACCTGCACAGCTTCTGAAGACACAGCTATTGAGAACAAGAGAAAGCAAAGGGAAAAGAGCCAAGTGGAAAATGATTCCACACTCAAACCTCCTCAAAAGCCACATTTACCTTTGCATATTTGGCATCTGGGTGAAGACTATCAGTTACAGCTTTAAACCATTCTTCTTCCTTCGGTGTGTCATTGAAAAAGAAGGCTTCTTTAGTCAGATCGAGCTCCTGGAAACTGTGTTAGAGGAAGGAACCCATGCACTTGTTTATAACTGTCCAGCCCCCTCTCTGGGAAAGAACTAAATCAGCTAATACTCATTAAATTAATAACTGAAATTAATAGCTGAAATTTATAACTGAAAACTCAAATTCAATGTTCATAGATGTATGTTAAATGTAAAGCTAAATTACTGTCATTATTATATCAAATGGCATTAAGGATTTTGTCAGACTGAGAGGCCAAACCCTACCAGACCAACAACCCTTACCAGCTGTGGACACACCCACCCTGGAGCTGTGCAATGCACTGCACCAGTGCCAACATTCCTGTGGTGTCCTGGCTGAACTCCTCCGGTGTCAGATCTGCCAGCACAGCCCAGGTTTGTGAGGATGGGCAGGGACAGGCACTCACCCCACGCAGTAAATGTCTGGAGGCTCAGCATCACACCTCAGCCAAGGCTGGAGGCTCTCTGTGGGAGACTGACCGTTCACGTTGTATGTCCCGACAAAAACCCTGCAAAGACAGTGACAGAATCCCTGAGCTGCCAGCTGCAGAGCCCAGGAAATAGCACTGCTATTAACCAGGGAAATAATGGTCCATACAACTGACATGTTGCCCGGGAAAACAAAGTTTAAATCCCTAAAATGATTTAACTACAGCTGCACCTTTACAGACACATTTTTACGGAAGGACAGATACAAAGTGTTATAAAACAAAAATAAGGCTGTTGCTGTGCAGTAGCAGGTTGAAATGATAAGTTCACAGAATGAGACACATAAAACTGTTTCAAACAGTTTTGGTTCTAATTATATATTTTACTCAAGCTCTTTCTTATGAGCTTATTGGAACAACTATATGGATAAGCAGTGGACAGAAATGGAGAGGGAGAGGACTGGAGTGCACAGAGCTGGTGCATTTCCAGACACTGTCTAAAATAAGCACAGAAAAAAGTGATTTCAGAAAGGCCATTTCCTCCACAAGAACCATGAGGTAAGTCTTGTTAGAGACATGAATGAAAATTCTGCTTTGCTTGTGCCTAAACATGGAAAGAAAATTGTTCTGGAAAGTATGGATCATACTTTTCTATAGAATTTGCTGTTTGTGGGGACGAGGGATGAAATAATAGATGAGTTATTCTGACAACCCATGCCAAGTTACAACCCATAACAGAAAGTTCTTCTCAGGAGTGATCATTACCTGTAGTTCTGGATGTGTGTGTAGGAGTCCTCCCTTTGTACAAGCTGAGATTTAACAATAGTATCTCTGAGTCCAAACTTTGGTTCTGATAAGATTGCGGCCTTGTTCGAAGCCATGACACGAGAGGCCCGAACCTGTTCAGTTCTTATTTCAGGCTTGAGTTTGTTTTGCCTGCAAATGAAAGCAAAACCGCAGATGAAGCCCAGGCTATCCCCACACCCTAACTAGGATATTTCTGCCACCAAGGCCTTAATTCGCATTTTTCTGTCTGTTCACTAAAGTCAGGTAACATTTGGGATAAGCCAAGAAGACTGAAAAGAGCATTTCTTAGCAGGGTTGAGATCTCCAGATAAAACCAGTTTAAGTAACTAAAATAGCAAATGGTTTTCACCATCCTGGTGCAGCCTGTTGATGCAGAGCAGGCCTTACTCACACCTGGAAAATGACAAAAACCTGTTCATCTTCCCTGCTTACTGGAGCAAGGAGAGGGAAATCTCATCTCCCTCTGCCTCTGCTCAGCCCTTCTGACCTCAGCCAGAGAATGAAGAACTGTGTTTGTTTATAAAACCTTCTGGTGGAAATCTTCCAGCTCTGCCCACAGTGGGTGGAGGTAAAGGTGGCTTTACTTTGTGTCTCCTGGCTCTGCAGACTCCTTTTGCAAAGGAACAATGCCACAGCTTGGAATTCCCACCAGCAATTGGATGGTATAAATTTACAGTCAGCAACCTGCATACCAGTGCCAAGGACAGCACACGGACAGACTCGGAATGCTTTGCATCAGAGTCCACAAAGTCCTGGGAACTGGAAAATGAAACTGTAACATTTTAAGAGAGTATCTGTGAGAGACACAGTGGCCCTAAGCCAAAACTCTCTGAATTCAAAATAAACAATGTTAGCAAGTCTTGTCCCACTAAACAGCCAAAATATGCCCAAACAGGGGACTGGAAGGATTGTCTCTGAGGGAGTGGGATGAAATTTCTGCTAATGTTTTGACAGCATGCTTATGCTGTACTTTGTTTTCTCTTAATTAGAACCTCCAGATTCTCATCTCAAAAAATTGCCAGCTTCTGCTCTAGACCCCCCCACCTGCGTGCACTGACCTGGGAGTGCTTCTATCAGTGCTGTCATGGCTACAGCTCTGACTGACTGCTGCTTTTTTTCCATTTTGTTTGACCCCTTCAGAGCCAACCGCTTCTGGAAAAAAGAAAAACAACAAATCAACAACAGAAAGTTTCATTTTAAACACAAAGTGTTCTTCAATTTATCAACATGCTTATGTAAACACTGGCAAAAATCTGTGGGCAGAAAATAATTTAGATTTGTGTGGAAAAACAAAGTACCCCACAGTCTCTCTTTCAGCTATCTGACAGATTCAGCTTACTCTGACCCAGCTGTTCTGTGATGCTGCAGCTTCCCCTGCAGAAGAAGAAACGACAGGAGCCACAGAGAGCAGCAGAACTCTGTCCTCTGTGGGAGCACCTGCTGCTGGCTCTCCTTTACAGCTAAGCTGAAGCAGGACTTAGCAGCACAAAATCCAGGGCTTTACCCCAGGAATCTGAAACACTTATGTTAATAGCAGATTTTTCCTTTCTGAAGCAAGACAGGAAGTACAAAGAAGGGGGGGTGGGGGGGGGAAGGGGAAAACAAACAAACCCCACAGTACCATTTAAAGGGTTTCTACCTATCTGCAAATACCCAGCAAGGCACCTGGAGGGCCATAAAGACTCACAGACCCACTGAACCTCAGCAGAAACATCTGCCTCAATGCAAGCTGCACATTCCTAAAACACTAATAGGGCTGCTACAAATCAAACTAACCACGGGACTGACACTAAACACATCACACTACCTTAGCAAAATTTGACCAGTCTTTCAGCATTTTGTTTCATTTACAATATTCTGCTCCTACAAGTTGCAAAATAACAGTTAAAAAAGAGGATTCTGGGAGAGGTTTCTGTGTTTAAGACGCAAAACCAGAAATTTTAAAATCATGCTCCTTAGCTCACAAATCTAATGATGATGATGTAGAAATATTAAGACTGTTGGGTTCTAGGCATTCAGCTGAGCTTCTCCTCCAGTGAACACAACCCAGAAAAAATTAAGATGTTATTGCTGTCACAGAACATTCTGCAGAACAAGAGCACAAAACAGAAATAGAACTTGCAGTGCTTCACCCAGGCCCTCAGGATACAAACCAGATAGCAAGAAGTGGCCAGATTCTCAGCCTGGAAAACCTCCTCTGCCCAAGAGCCTTCTGAGAATAGACAGTGTAAGAGGATTTATCAGAGCTTGGACGCAGAAGAGCACATGACTGCAAACACACTGCAGATCACACAGCTCAAATGAAGCAGAATTGACCAGGAGCACACAGAGATGCAATGGGAAGTGTGGGCCTAGGGACCTGGGACACAGCAGTTTCTCCATTGAGAACTTAATTACTACTCCTTGGATCTCTGCAAGGTCTCCCAATAACAACCATGCAACATCCCTTGAGAGTGAGTGATGGGAACCAAACTGAACCTTCGCCTCAATGGACAATGGTTACTTTTGTGCCAAGAAGAAAGCAGATTTCCAGGCTTTATTAGCAACATGGGCCCATACCACTCAGCAGTATGCAGAAGGCGTCATTGCAGAATGGAAAGACGTGTGAGCCTGTTGCTGGCACAACTACTACCTGATCCACAGATCAGAGTTATCCATCACTCCCTGCATTCTAACCTCATGGGCAGAAATCAGTTTTAGGTAGGATTCTCCTAAGAAAGAGATTAGCTTTGGCAAAGGGCTGTTTCCTTTAGCTAAATTTATGTCTAGCCACAGATTTCTGTAGTCAGAGGGATCTATATGGTAGCACTGTGAAGTGGAATAATGACCCCGTCTGATAATTGAACTGAGCACAGAAATACAGAGCAACATGCAGAGATTACAGGAGATCTCAATTGCACAGGATTTCCAGTTAAATGAGATTCAAGCAGTAATAAAGGCATCAATGTTAAAAATGTGCAGTGACATTGTAGCACAGCAGGAAAATGTATCATATCTCCCGGATAAAACAGGATTCATGCTTAGCGTCCAATGGGGAGAATTAAATTAGGCTTCATGCAACGAGAGCACGATATCCGGCCTAAAGGATACAGCAAAATGCCAACAGTCGGGTTTTGAACCCCACACTGACTTCCAGGAAACGCTTTAGCTCTGAATCTTCTCACACTTCTGCACTCTGCCAAGCGGGGAACGCCACCGAGCACCGGCAGCGGCGGAGCCAGCGGAGGAGGCACCGGGAGAG